ACCCATATGGTGGAAGGAGAGAACTGACTCCTAAAAGTTGTCCTCTGACTTCCACACCCACGCCATGGCACAGACAACCCCTCCCAAATAAATAAATGTAATGTTTAAAAATAAAGATGAGCTGGGCGTGATGGCACACAACTTTAATCCCAGCACTCAGGAGGCAGAAGCAAGCCGATCTCTGTGAGTTCAAGGCCAGCCTGGTCTCCATAGTGAATCCAGGCCAGCTAGGGCTACAGGGAGACCCTGTCTCAAAAAGACCAAAAAGTAAAAAATAAAGAAGAAGCCAGACATGGTGATGTGTTTAATTCCAGCACTCAGGAGACAGGGGCAGGCAACTGTCTGTTTGAGGCCAGCCTGCTGGTCTGCATAGTGAGACCCCAACTCAAAAAAAAAGGAAAAAGAAGCAGCTCTTAGAGGCTTGGAGATGGGGCAGGTAAAATATCTGCTGTGCAAGCATGAGGACCTGATTTTGGATCCCCAGCACTGACATAAAACAAACAAAAACCATGTGGCTGTGTACATCTGTAATCTCAGAACTGGGGGACATTGACAGGTGGATTTCAGGGGCTCACTGACCAACCAGCCTAACCAAAATGATGAGCTTCAGGTTTAGTAAAAGACCCTGTCTAAAAAAAAAGAGGCAAGGGAAGGTGGAAAACAAACATTTTATCCCAGCACTCCTGAGGCAGAGGCAGGTGAGAGAGCGAGGTGTGCCTAGTCTACACAGTGAGTTCCAAGCCAGCTGGGACTACAGAGAGACACTGTTTGGAAAAAAAAGAAAGGAAAGCAATAGGGGAAAACACCCAAGATCGACCTCTGGCCTCTACAGAGGCACGCCTGGATGTGTGCACCTGAACACACACAGCATTCGCCACACACACAAATACAAACTAATCTAGGAAGATTAGCAAACGTTCTGATAGGAAAATGGAAAGAGAGAAAAGAAGTTGGAAGTGGTTAAATGAGATCCCTTTTTGCTATGTGTGTGCAATACCTGCAGAGGCCAGAAGAGGGCATTGGATTCCCTGAAACTGAAGTTACAGATGATTGTAAGCCCTCCTGTGAGTCCTGGGAAGCCAACCCAGGTCCTCTGCAAGAACAGCCAGTTCTCTTAACATCTGAGCCATCTCTCCAGCCCCTTCAGCGGAACTTTTATATATTGTCCTGCATTAGCCATTAAGGTTCTGCTAGAAGAGGTAGTGACATCTTTTTATTTATTTTTCCTTTTTTTTATTGTGTTTATTTTTGTATTGTGTATATGTGTGTTTTGCCTGCATGCAAAGTGCACCAAGTGCTTGCAATGCCTTTGGAAACCAGAAGAGGGTATCAGGGTACCTGGAACTGGAGTTAGAGACAGTTGTTAGCAGTCATGTGGATGCTGGGAACTGAACCTGGGTCCTTTACTAGAGCAGCCAGTGCTCTTTACCTCTGAGCCATGTCTCCAGTCCCAAGTGGTGGTGGCAGCTTTAAGAATGAGTCAAAATGTTCAAAATGCTGTGATGGCCCATGCTTGTAATGACACTTGGCAGGATGTGGAGGTCAGACTGGGCTACATGAGACACTGTCTCAAAAAAAAAAAAAAAAAGTTGAAAAACGTGAATAACCATCTATCATTTTTTACCTTTCACTTCTTTTACCTCCCCGGGTTCTTTCCTCCCCTTTTCTTCCCTTCCCTTCCCCTTCTTCAAACCACATAATAGGACTGTTGTGGTTTGGGTGTGTCTTCTGGTTCATTTGTTGGAAGTTTGGTCCTCAGTAGGGCCACCCTGGAAGGTGTGGAACTTTAAGAGGTGGAGTTTAGGGCATTGTTAGTAGATCATCAGAGGTGTTGCCCTCAGAAGGGATTAGTGAGTTTGTTTTCCAGAGAATGTGTTGCTGTTATAAAAGGGCAAGGCCAGCTGGTCCCCGCCGCCTGGCTTCTCTCTCTGTGCTGTAGTCCTGCCATGATGCCATCTGCTGCAGTGTGATATCGCCAAGGAAGTCCTCACCGGAGGCCATTCAGTCTTGGAGTTTCAAGCTCCTAAACTGTGAGTTAGTTAAATCTCTTATATCCATAAAGTGTCCAGCTTCACTTGTTTTGTTATATTGATAGAAAGGAGACTGATACAGGAGCCAAGCAAGGTGGGTGTTAGTGGTGGAGGATTCGAAGCCATGGTTGCCTACAGTTTGAGTAGGCAGTTGGTTTGGTACAGGAGGCAAAGGCTAAGAGGAATGAGGATTCTGTGCAGAGAGTGGCCTGACAGGGATGGAGAAGGCATTCCCACAAGAAAGGGACACCAGTGGAATATTCTGAGTCAAGAGAGAATGGAGTCCCTTCAGAGAGACAGCCTTGTGCCAGGTGTTGGAACCCAAGTAGGGTCATATGGGCCAGAGGTAGGGGGGGAGGAAGAGAGGAAGCCTAGAACTGGTGCATTGATCAGGCTGCCCCAGCAGACTCAGGGCACTGGGCATAAGCAGGAAGCAGACAGATGCATCTACAGAGAGCACCAGCAGTGCAGTGAAGAGGAAGATTGCACTGATCATGGGAGACAGTACAGGGACAGAAGGAGACTGTCTTTCCTACCCAGAGTCACTCACTCAGCACTTCTGACCCTAGATTCCTTGGGATACAAGCTGGGCATCCTACCATTCAATTCTGACATGATCTACCTAGAAGAAGCGGAATCCATGAACTGAGGGCATACTCCCACAAGGCTGCTCCCACTTCACAAGCCAGTTCCAGGCCTGCCTCTGACCCAGGCCATAAAACCTTTAAAACAACCCCTTCTCCTTGGGTTTGCTTAGTTTAAAGCGGTGGCTCACATACTCAGGGAAACACTTAGGTTCACCCATTTATTATAAAGCCTAACACTAGAGATACAATTAACAGCTAGGTGAGAAATGGGAGGGAGCACAGGGCTTCAGTGCCTGTCTATGAGTGCCCCTCCCTGTCCCCCATGGTCAGCTACCTGGAAGCTCTCCAAACATTGTCCTTGGGAGGTTTTAATGGAGGTTCATTAGGAAGCATGATTGATTATCTCACTCCTCACTCGTGGTCAGCTCCACCTTCAGTTGCTCTCCCCCCCTCCAATCACATGGCTGGTTCCTCTGGCCACCAGCCCCATCGTGAGGCTATCCAGGAACATGTCAAGGGTTGCCTCATTACAGCAGATGATGCCCTGTCTTAGGAAATTCCAAGGATTTAGGGCCCCTGGGTTAGATGTGCCAGTAACTCAGGAAATTACACAGGTCTCAGGAGCTCTGAGTCAGGAACTAGGGTTGATGACCACATATTAGAACAAAAGATTCTCCAAGCAGCTCTGTTACTCAGGAAATTACAGAGGTTTATGGATTTCTATTTAGGAGCCATGGCCAAAGGCCAAATATATTTTACAGTATCACAGACAGTCTTGAGACGTTGTTTATACACAGAATGACTGATTAGGTAAGTCATGGGGCCAGGCTTCTTATTGGTAGATAGGGTCGTTACATACACAGAAAATGAGATAGAAAATAGTCAGGGTTGGGCTAGGACTGGAGGGAACAGTGGTCTTGTTATCTTGGATATACATAGATGGGTATAAAATAAATATAGCTGTAAATATACATTTGTATTTATACCTACACACATACATGTGTACATTTCATATATTCCCTAGCTGTAACCATCAAAGGGGCCAGAGAACAGTAACAATAGCAAAGAACACATTTAAGGACCAGATCTTGGTTTCCGAAGGAACCGGGAATCCTTGGAAAATGGCTGATGGAAGGACTAAAGTCTGGAAGATGCCAAACAAGCTTTGGATAGCTTGCATACTGAGGAATAAGTACAAAAGAAATAATGAAGATCAGTTAAAAGGTTAAAGAATACAACTTGCAGAGCCAATAGTAGAAACAATGGGAAATTAAAATGAAGTAATGGACTGTAACCCCTGTTGAATGAGACAGGAGTCCACTAGCCAGTGCAGATCTGAACAAATGCGTGAATACACCCAATGTCGGATGAAGAGAAGGATATTTATATAGCTTTAATGTATGTCCCCACAAAACAATTACAAAGGAAAAAACAGTAATTTTACAGTGGGAAAGCCTGGCGAATGCCACTTAATCAAGTGCTCACACCCATATTAAAGATGGGACATTATGTGTTGTGTCACCCAATAGGATACAGTGAGAGGCATGCATTGTGGCTTCTCTGATAGTTTGCCCAAAGGTGCATGACCCTATATAAGCCTAAATTCTGCATTCTATAAAACTAAGCTGCCTCTGGTCTTGAAAACTGTTGTGTCATGAATGTCAAAGGAGAACCACATACAGTAGTGCACATCTGGGGCACCTGGAAAGAACAGAATTGAGACCAGCCTGGATGGGTTGCATATGTGAGACCCTGTGTATATGTCAGATGATAGATAGATGATAGATGATAGATAGATAGATAGATAGATAGATAGATAGATAGATAGATAGATAGATAGACTAAGGAACTCAGTATTGGAAGACTGGAGGTACTGGTGGGATGCTCATCGGGTAAAGATGCTTGCTATGCAAGCCTGGCCACCTGAGTGCAGTCCACAGAACCTGCATGAAGATGGAAGGAGAGAACAGACTCCACAAAGTTGTCCTCCGACCTCCATAGGCATGCTATGGCACAGACACAGACACACACACACACACACACACACACACACACACACACACACTAAGTAAAACTGAAAAAAAAGGCTAGATTCTTGATAGGTAAATGTGATTTCTGAAAGGATCTTTTCACTATAAAAAGGATGTTATTGGGGCTGGGAAGATAGCTTAGTCTGTAAAGTAATTGCCTTGCAAACATGAAGATCTGAGTTTGATCCCCAGAACCCAAGTGAAAAAACAAATAAACAAAGCCAGGCCTGGTGGTGGTGTGCCCTTGTTATCTCAGAGCTGGGGAGGTGGAGACTCTGAGGCTCTCTGTTCAGTCAGCCTAGTCTATTTGGAGAGGTCTAGGCCAGTGAGAGACCCTGTCTCAAAATAAGGTGACACCTGAGTCTGTCTACTGATCTGTATACACAGACACACACACTTATAAAACCATGCACACATGTGCATGCACACCCACACACATGAACACACAAACACAAAGGATACTATTGTAATCATTGACCCTTTCAGTGGAGTCTGGAGATCATAGCGTAACTTGCTAATGTTAAATTCCTGATTTAGATGATTCTTCTGGAATGCTCTAAATGAATGTTTTCAGTAGAGAGAACACTCTAGTACTGGAGGGCCTCAGGGCATCTTCACAGTTTTGATCCTACAGGAAGAAGCTTCTGAGTCAGTTTAGCTAGCATCCAGGATGTTTATTAGGAAGTGCCTTCAAAATTGACACCTGTGGAGGGGAAGAGGAGGAAGCAAGCTTAGAGGAGGGACATGCAAGCTGTTCCTTAGGAAGGCCAGTAGCCTTCACTCACCCAGTGAGGACCTCTAGAACCACTGTGCTATTTACTGTTGCCCCAAACCAGTCTGAAAGGGCTGGGCTTTATTGTGTTTGTGTGCATGTTTGTGTGTATGAGTGCACATGTGTGTGTAAATGCACATGTGTGTGTATGTGTGTGTGTGTGTGTGTGTGTGTGTGTACATGCATATGGAGGCTAGAGGACAACCTCAGGTGTCCTTTAGGAACTGTCTACCTTGCTTTTTGAGACAGGGTCTCTCCTTGACTTGGAAGTCACCAAGCAGGCTAGTCTGATTGGCCAGGGATTCCCAGGGATCTTCCTGTCTCCACCTCCCCAGTGCTGGAATTACAAGCATGTGCCACCTCGCTTGGCTTTTTAGCTGGGCTCTGAGGCTCAAACTCAGGTCTGCATGCTTGCAAGGCAGTCACTTTACTGACTGAGCTGTCTCCCCAGGCCTAGGCCTGGGCTTTAGAACCACACTTTGCTGAAGAGATGGTTCAGTGGTCAAGAGCTCTTACTGCTCTTGCAGAGAATCAGAATTCAGTTCTCAGTACCCATGTGGTTCATACCCTGTGTAACTCAGTTCCAGGAAATCTGAATTCTCTTCTGGCTGGGGTGGAGGGTACCCCTGGCATGAATACGATACACAAAAACTCATGAAGGCACATACACATATGCATAAAAGTAATAAATAGAACCACATCTTGATTAGATATTGGATATGGAGTGTCCTGATCTTCCTGATGAGACTGTCCCACTTGACTTTGGATACTAGAAACCCAAAGTGCCCAGGCAGCAGCTCTTGTTAGTAATTCAAAGGGACTTCTGCCTATTGCCTGCTGGACACTGTCCTATTTTAGCAACCAGGTCCACTAACCTTGAAGAGCCAGAAAGTGGGAGTTGAAATGCACATTCTTTCTCTGGGATCCAGGGGAGTGATAGCAAAGCAGTATTACCCTTGCTTCCACAGTTTGCTTCCTTGGGTCCATGGATTCTCCCTGCTGGGGGCATAGCACCATAAAAGTTTTTCCTCTGTACTTAATGTAACCTGGAAGATAGCATTCCCTGCTGAACATGGCACCCAAGCAGGCACAGATACAACTTGTAGGGGTGCTGTCAGCTATATAGACAGGAGATAGCGGGGTCAGGGATCTACCCTCACATCCTTGTTGCAAGCTGAATCCCCAGGTCTGATGCAATGCTTTGTGAGATTCTCTGCTGATGGAATATTCCAGAACCCCAGGGTGATGCCTGAGAATGAGACACTCAAACACTCACCCAGAATACTTGTCCATTCCTGTCACAATGAATCACTCAGCCTTTTAGGGTAAAAGGATTCTGAAGTAGCCAGCTTGACACCAGATGGTTTCTTGGAGGTGCAATGCCATACCCAAAGCCCCACACTGGTCTCTCTTGCTGGCAAGTTGGACATTGGTAGTAACAATTGGTAGTTAGCTTTGGTGAGTGAGAACCCATAGAGACCCAGAAGAACCTTAGTCTTCACACGGCCACTTGGCTCACATACCTGCTTTGCCAGTGAGGGTGTGGTCAGTGACAAAGGCTGACTCACCCAGCTCGTCACTTTATCTGAGGGATTTATATTTGCCATTTTGCTATTTCTTGTGTCATTTTTTTTCTCCTCTATTCCTCCATTAGTCCCTCCTTTTGTGTTAAAAAGGTATTTTCAAACTGAGTGTGTTAACACACATCTATAATTTCAAAATTTAGGAGGAGGTGGATATGCAGGAGGATCAGGAGTTCAAGATCAGCCTTAGTTACATAGCCAGCCTGGGCTATTGAGATTGTCTTAATAACAAAAGTGAACAAGAAGATACTTTCAACATACCCTTTTAATTCCGTCATTTAATGCCTGTGTTGAAGGTGGTCTGTCCTGCCAGTGGTGAGCTGGGCAGCTCCAAACCCTGTCTGATCTCTAACTTTTCAAACCTCTCTTGGCTCCAACTGCAGCAGTTTGGGTTTTTCAGGAAGCAGGCTGAGACAGACTTTAGTGCTCAGGATACTTATTAGGGAGAGCTGTTGGGATGAACATCTGTGGATGGGAGGGGAAGGAAATGGGACTGGGCAGAGGGAGGAGCTGCTTTGAGATGCAGGCTGATGGCCTGAGCTAACCCCAATAGGGAGCTCTTAAACAGAAAATCTCCATTTTGCTCTGCACAGGCCTGAAGTCCCCAGCTTTTCCTATTTTTTGTTTTGACCGTCAATGGATTTGGGCCACTGAGGAAAGGTGTATCTCTTTGGGCAAGGTTGCTTTCTCTACAGACCAGGCAAACCCTAAAGGAAATGATTTGTGACAGCCATGTACCAACCACAGTCCCCACAGCTGAGCACCAAGTCCTTTCTCAGAGGCGGAGCTGGTCAATTTTATCTCAATGTCCACCACAGAGGTCATATTAGCAACTTACTCTCTAATCTAATCTAATTCAGCATATTAGGCTGCAAGTGAAGCTAAGTGCAGCACTTGCCTGAAACCCTGGGTTCTGCCTCAATACAGAAAAAAAAATCATTATGATATGTGTGCACATGTTTTTCTTTTATAGTAATATGGGTTGAACCCAGGGCCTCTCACTTGCTTGGCAAGTGCTCCACAAGCTAGCCATATCCCTAGCCCAACTGTAAGAATGATTGAAGAAAAATCTCAAAGAGCCTCCCATGGCTGATGTTGAAAAGACAAAAACCTATTTGAGTTCATGAAATATGGATTCCTGGGAGAGTCAGTGGGAAATAAGACTGAAACCGAGCTGGGTTTCATCCTTGCCGAGGCAAGAGAATGTCTAAGTCTTCAGAATGATGGGGCAAGAATGAGAAGCACTGATGCTGGAGAGAGGGCTCAGGTGTTAAGAGCACTGGCTGCTCCTGCAGAGGAGGAGCTGGGTTTGATTCCCAGCACCCACATGACAGCTACAGCCACACATAACTCCAGTTCCAGAGGATCCAATGCCCTCTTCTGGCCTCTGAGGGCACCAGGCATGCGCTGCACATACAGACATGCAGGCAAAACACATAAAATAAAAAATAAATTTTAAAAACGAATCACCGATTTTACTACAGCCAGATGTGCCTTCAGGTGTGCCTCACCTCTGAGCATGTCGGTCTGTTTTGGGTTTCCAGGAAGAGTTATTGTTTTGGGGCTGAGGCATAGCTTAGTGGTAGAGTACTTGCCAACCTTGAGTGAGGCCCCGAGTTCATACCCAGCACCACAAAGAGTGTTTCCACCAGGCCTGGAGACATAGACCTGTAATCTCAATTATTCTGCAGGCTGAAGAAGGATAAATCACAAATTCAAGGCCTGACTGGGCCACAGGGTGCGTTCAAGGCTGGGCTGGACAACTTAATGAAAGTCTATTTCAAAATGAAAAGAAAACTAAGTACCAAGCAAGCTGAAGATAAAGCTCAGTTGGTAGCTCCCTTGTTTGGCACCCACAGTTACTGTTTCCCAGCCAGGTGTGCTGATTACAACACACCGGTAATCCCAGTACTTGGAAGGCTGATGCAGGAGGGTCTGAAGTTCAAGACTAGCCTGGACACATAGTAAAACCCTGTCTATAGAAACCACCATCACCTCTGCTGCCAAAAAGTAAAAATAAAAATGACTGTTTCCTGTCTTCTTCCCTTTGTTTCTTTCCCTCCTTGGCCCTTATGGAACTTGGAATGTGGAGATGAGTCTTCCCTCAGCTTCCCCACACTGGGGTGATGACTATTTTTAGGAATAATCTGAGTCACAAAGGGAGGAGGAAAAGAACCATTTTATTTTCTTCCTTTCCTTTCTTTCATGCCCAGCTGTACAGCTAAATCATTTTATAAACATTTCCTTTCCTCTTTTCCCCCAAGAATATTTTGCCTTGTGCTTAGGGAGTGGTAAACCTTCAGCCAGGTGTCTAAAAGTAGAAGACATTTTTTTCATTGCTTGAATGGACCTCAGGCTAAATGATGAGAGCATGAAAATATGCTTTTGTATAGGTGAATAAATTCATGATGTGCTGGATGTTGGGAATGGAGAGGTTGCCAGTCACCCAATGGTGGCCATCTCCCAGTATTTCTCAGCTGTAGTCCTCTGGACCTCCACCTCTCCTGGCCGAGCAGAAGGCACACCTGTTCTCTTTGGCCTTTGTTCCTGAGAGACCTGCTTGAGTATATGTCAGGCTGATATTTTAATTAATTAATTAATTTATTAATTTATTTATTTATTATTTTGGTCTTTTTGAGACAGGGTCTCCCTGTAACCCCAGCTGTCCTGGAACTCACTATGTAGACCAGGCTGGCCTTGAACTCACAGAGATCTGCCTGCCTCTGCCTCTCAAGTGCTGGGATTAAAGGCGTGTGCCACCACACCAGGCAAGGCTGATATTTTATTACATTTCTTTGATAAATAAATAAGCCAAAGGTTTCAATCAGTTGATACATTAAACATTGAAAACAACAATTTTCCAACTAAGTTACCCAGAAAATGGGGAGAAAGTTATTTTGTTATTTTTCCCCCAATGCTGAGGATCAAACCCATGCCCTGTGCATGGTAGGCAAGTGCTCTGCCACTGAGCTGAATCCCCAGCTGGGGAAAATGTTCTCCCTTAGAGAAGGCAGGCAGGCACTCACAGAATAAGTATTGAATTAATATGCAGAAAGTAGAGATCTGGCAACTTCAGGAAACCATGGTGGAAACAAACAGGCTTCTAGCCTGAGACTTGAACATCCCTGTGTGTGTCCCTTCCATGTTTCCAGAGCACTCTCCACGCGGTAGCTCACGATAGTCTTAGAACGACTCTGTGAGGGAAAGGAGGCAGGTATTACTTATACCATCCTAAAATGAGATTAAATGACTTGCCTGGAGTCAAACAATTAATGACAGAAGTGGGGCTGGTCCCTGGGTTTTCTGATGGCTGTTGGTGTCAGGACACCAGATGGACACCAGCAACTTCTGGGGATTTCAGAGCAGAGCTCTTGTGCATTATGGCTAAAGGACAGGAGACTTTCAGGGACTGTCTGAAAGTGTGCTCATGTAGAAGGCTGCTGGGCTGAAAGGGCCTTAAGCTCTCCAGCACAGTAAAACTCCAAGATGATAGATCTAAACTGAAGAAGAAACGATAAATTGCACAAAGCCATGGGAGTGGACAGGAGTACACAAAGTGAGTTTCATTCTGTACTGATTTGGAATAATGCGTTCTGCATTTGGTGCTCTTACTGTGGAAGTGCACTCAAACAAGATGACCTGGGAGCCATGATTTATTCCAAGAAAGAGAACCATGAGTTAATGTTGACTGTTTGTGACAGTCACGTAACAACCAAGTACTGGGCTTCTTAGCTAAGATTGCAGGAAACAGATCTGAAAGTATCATTTTGCCCAACAGTGTTGAAGCATTACCTGGAATTACGTGTTTAATTCTTCCTGGAAACCTTAAAATAGGGTCTAACAGATTTACCAGGTCATAACTAGGTAGATACCTGTTAGTTGAACGGGAAGTGTTCCTAAGGCTCATGTGTTGAAAGCTGTTAGAAGGTGATTAGATCATGAGATTCCACAGATTTTCCCAGAGATGGAATCATAATTTGATGGCACTACCAGGAATTGCTAGACATTTTAAAAGGTGGGGCCTTTTTGGAGGAAGTAGGCCATGGGGAGGGGGGTCACTGCAAGGATCTGTCTTGTCTCTGACTCCTTGCACTCTCTTTGCTTCCTGGCAGTGTGAGGTGAACAGCTTCCTCTATCCTGTGTTCCCACCACCATGAGGTTCTGTCTTTCACAGCCCCACAGCAGGAGCTGGCTGATCATGAAGCCTCAGAAACCATGAGCCAATTAAAATTTCTCCTTTTACATGATTTGTTACAACCAAGAGAAAACTAAGGACTGGCAAGATGGCTTAGCAGTACAGGTACTGACTGCTGCCAAGTCCAGCAACCTGAGTTCAATCCCTAGGGATCCACATGACGGAAGGAGAGAACTGACTCTTGAAAGTTGTCCTCTGACCTCTACACTTGAGCTGTGATAAGAATGCCCACCCCTGCACTAAATAAATAAATACATGTGATTTTTTTTTTGAGACAGGATCTTATTATGTAGTTCCAGCTGGCCTGAAACTTAGTATATAGACCAGGCTGGCCTCAATCTCACAGAGATCTACCTGTCTCTGCCTCCTGAATACAGGAATTAAGGCCTGACTCAATGAGTAGAATATTTTTTAAAGCAAAGAGGAAAATTGCTTTTTTTTTTTTTTTGGTTTCCTTTTTCTTTTCTTTTAGACAAGATCTCCCTTAGGCCCAGCTGGCCTAGAACTCACTATGTAGGACACAGGCATCCACGTTTTCTCCATACCTAAGCCATCACATCACACAGGGCCCCACTCTCAGAAGGGCCACATGCTTGGCTTAATGCTCTGCCATCTTGACTTTCCTTATCCTGTTTCAAAGTCAGAGACAGTAGAGCATGCGGTGAGCATAGGAGATAGAGACCACGTGTGCACTGCACCTCACTACTCCACCCACTAGATCTTTCTCCACAGCCATGCACACAGACTTCTAAAGATGGAGCCACAGGCATGAGGGTTCCCAGCTGTAAGTCCAAGGGAAGTTTGCTTTCTGTGGTGGAGCAAGAGGGAAGCTGACAGCACCCAGACGCCATGCTTTCATCTACAACCCCACCTTCAAACACCAGAAGAAGCAATGACGCTATGAGACATGAAAGACCCAGATACAGTATCACGGCCTTCCTTGCTTTGCTCCTTCCCTGTGTTAGTCAGTTCCAGTCAGTTCCTTCTTATTCTTCAGTCAGAGACTGTGGTAGAACGTGTCTATCAAGACGTGTATCACTGAGTTTTGTGCAGTTTTTCTGCTACACTAGTAGAAACATATGTAAATATTTGAGCTCTGAGAAATTGTGTCACTTTGGTGAGTCCACGGAGGAGTTAAATGCTTATCTTTGGGGACCAGAAAGATGGCTTGGCAGTTAAGTATGCATATTGTTCTTTCAGCGGACCCAAG